CCTTCCTGGCTGTGGGCGATCTGTTGTGAGAAAGCTGTGGTTTCCGTGTGTGCACCATTACCACACAGTGATTGGTGGTAGTGGGGAGGCGACTCACGGTGGCCAGAGAAGATCTTATCTACTGACATTTGCATATTTAGGGCCCATATTTAAAGCAGCCAGGACTTAAGACTTAGCTATACATTGAAATGCTGAATAGAAGTGACCCCAGATGTTATGTCCAGATTTGACCAAAATTAAAAATTGGATTTGCCTGCAGCTTCTGGCGGGTCTGCTTGCGGCGAGTCAGGTGCACATTGTGTCTTCTGTTGGCGAGCTCAGGTAGTTTCCATGGGGCCTGGGAAGGGGCAGCATGGTGTTGGTGGGTTTTGTATTGGTAGAACTAGGAGCATTCTAATACCACATCTACCATGTCTGCTTCCAGAGCTGTTTGGAACCTGGTGCTAGGAAGAAATGAAAGAAGGTCGGGTCCCTGGCAGCTGGGCCAAGCCAGGCATTCATGGGACGATCTTCACACCATTGTCCCTCCATCCTCCCCATGGAGATGTACAACGTCCCAGAGTGTTAAGACAGACTTGGGTTTGCACCTAGGCTGAGTGACTTACTAGCTCTGTAATCTTGGCTAAGTTACCTGACCTCTCTGAACTTTAATAGCGTGGAAGTTACAAGTCCAGGGACTTGTCCAGCTCTGCCACCAACAGGTGCTGTGACAGGAAGGCTATGCTAGGGGCTCTAGGTGGCCCCTCACAATTCTAGTAGTTTATGGTTTTGTGGCCCCTTATTTATCCATTGAGAAAGAAAATGAGCTGGTTATGTTCTCATTCTCAGGAGAGAAAACAGAAATACTCCTTACGATCTTTAAAGATTTGTTTCCACCAGAGCCTGGCCATGACAGTCGGTGGTGGCCTTGTCTTTTCCTCCCTAATCAGTCCTGGGACACGCACTGTACAGGAGGGCTGGCATGCACTTGGCTCTTCCTGGGGTGGGCTGGAAAGAGCCTCCCAGAGCCCAGGCGCTCATTCTGTCACTGACCTTTTAGAGAACGACCCCTGCAGCCTTTCTCTTTAACAGCAGCTATAGGTCCATTCACAGGCCCCATCACAGTGTCATCCTAACCAGAATGCTCACAGGGCTGGCCAGACCTGAGAGAGACAGGACAAAGCCCAAGTGAGAAGCCAGGAGCCGCCTGCCCTCCTGTGCCAGCCTGTGACTGTCGCACTGTGGCTGGGAACAAGCTGGAGAGTGCAGCTTCAGATAAGTGGCCACAGCTCCCTCAGTCCCCTGGGGAAGGGTGTGCTATGGGCTGGGCCACCCAGACAAGGAGGAAAGAGTGGATGGCTCTGGGGTTACCAAAGGAAAGATTTAAAAGCTGCTGTGGCTTGAGTGCAAAAGTGTTTCTGGCTGAGCAACGTCCCCAGGAACAAAAGATCTGTTGGGCTAGAGCACAGAAGAAGGTTTTGTCTTCCAGGACCAGAACCTGCCCCAAGTTAATCAGAACAGGCTTAGTAAGAACTCTCTGCTGATTGGCTGGGTCCACTGCTCAGGAGAGCGATCATTTGCCTTATCCTCCCAGTCAGGAATGGGCAGGGCCCTCCCCTAGAGGCCCTAGTTTCCCTCCTTCCAGCTCTGCCTGCCCACCCTGCATCCACAGCTGGTTGCTCAGTACCAGCTGGGAGCGCCTCATGTAGGAGCTCAGCAGTAAGATGAGCCACAAGAAATCTGCTGCTAATGATCAAGTACCAACATTGGGAGAGACTTTACTTTTAAAAAAGGACATAAATTGTCATGCATTCAAGTTATCTCCATAATGAGATCATTGACATCCTCCCAGGCTAGTGGGCAGGTGAGTGCCGGAGCCTGGGCACACACAGCCCTTGCTGGACTGAGACCACAAAGAAGCAGGGTATCGGGATCCTCTGAGGGGCCAGGAGAGGCCCCTGGGTCTTTGCATGAACTCATCTCCATCAGGGCCCCACTAGTAACTTGGTTTCCCAACAACAGATCTGCCTGATAAACTGATTAAAGATGCAAAACAGAAGTACTACTGCTGAAAGGGGAGCCTCTCCTTTCCTCCAGACAGCCCAGTTTTCACTGCATTCCTGGTTTGAGGTACTTTGTTATGTTGGCAACACAGATTCCCACAATGCTCTGGAAATTTTGGCCTTTTTTTTTTTTTTTGAGACAAAGCCTCAAGCTGGCCCCCTGGGTAGAGTGCTCTGGCATCACAGCTCACAGCAACCTCCAACTCCTGGGCTCAAGCGAGTCTCCTGCCTCAGCCTCCCAAGTAGCTGGGACCACAGGCGCCTGTCACAACACCAGGCTATTTTTTGGTTGCAGCCATCATTGTTGTTTGGCGGGTCCGGGCTGGATTCGAACCCGTCACCTTAGGTGTATGTGGCTGGCGCCTTAGCCGCTTGAGCCACAGGCGCCGAGCTGAAATTTTGGCCTTGATAGATGTTCCCGCCCAGAGAAATCCTTTGTCAGACCTTTTGTGCTGATTTTAGGGGCTAGATATGATGGGTATGGGATGGATCCCAGATGTATTCATGGCACCTCACCCGAAGATCAGGGTCCATAGCTGTCACCAGCTCCCCCAAGTCCAGCACTGTGACCAGCAGGAAGTAGGGTTAACCTATGTTGGCTGCACCACATGACATTACATGCTTGATTACATTGTTCCCACATCATAACCTTGGAGATTGTGAGTCTTGTCCCCATTGTACAGAGGAGAAAATTGAGGTTCAGGGGAGTTAAATAACTTTCTCATGAGCTAACAGCTAGTGAGGAGTTGAGCCTGGGTGCACACATAGGTCTTTATTCCTATGCTATACATGTACTGGCTTAGTTTCAAGCTCAGGAATTTCCTGAAATTGTTGAGTTGGAAACCAGAGAGGCTTAGGTGAGAGGAAGATCAGCCTGACTCCCATCAAGATTTTAACATTCAGCTGAGCCTTCATTTGGTGCCTAAGGGCACATTTTTCCCTCTGGGTATTTTATTAAGACATATTAACATACCCTGACCTCTCTTTTGAAGCTTCTGGCTTAAACCTGTACTTGTACCCCTTGAATTTACACATTAAAAAACAAAGCACCCCCAACATGTGCACAGATGGAAAAGGCAGATCTAAAAAGGCATTGTTTGTTTCAAGATGAAGAGGCCAAGATTAAAGGAGACTCATAGCTTGTGGGCCTAGCACTGTGCGAAACAGTTTTTTGTAGTATTTTATTTCATAGAAATGTTGATTGGGAATAGATTAAAATAGTGCCCAAGTGATCCAAGACCTGATAGGCACTGTTTTTAATCTATCCTCAAGTAATAGATAAGGAAACTGAGATTCAGAAGGACAAAGTGACATGCCTAATGTTCCAGAGCTAATCGGCAGAGGAAGCAGGATTTAATTCCAGGTCATTCTACTCCAAAGCACTTGCCGCCAGCCCTTGGCCCTAGGCCAGGTCTTTTCTTGAGGTGCTACAGCAGATGCTCTGCCCTGCATCTGCATCCCCCGCCCACCCCCAGCAGGCCAGAAGACAGTGTTGCTCTTGTCCTTTGAGCTGGCCAACCTCCTGTACTCAGTTTCAGCCCCTCTCTGGAATTAGCAAGAAGTTCCTTTTTCTAGTACTGGTGATTATTTTTTAAAATGTAAAATAATAAATATTATAGGATATTTTTAGTAAAAACATGTCCCAGCTTGTATAAGGAAGTGGTACCAAAAGCACTGACTAGGGGAAGATACGTGGTTACTTTTTGCAAAGATGAATCTAGTTTTCATAAGGCAGCCTACTGGGAAGGCTGAAGTGTCCTAGACGAATGACAGGCTGGGCTTCAGGGCACTGGGCTGGTGCCGACATTGGGACAGGGGAGCCTCTGGTCTACTCCACCCGGGAGTGAGAATTCCCAGAGTCCTAGAGCATAGAGGAGCCAGCCAGGGACTTAAAGTAAAAAGGGCTGAATTCAGTTGTAGCTTGAGGATCCTAAGCCTAGGAGCAAGTTGTTTAACCTGTCTGTAGGAGCTGTGGGGCTTAGTTATGTCATATACATGGAAACACCCATGCTTGTGTCTTGGTTAAGCTTCAAGACCTGCCAGCAAATCTGTTCCTCCCCTAATAATGATATTTTGAGAATTACCATATTTTAAGATGAAATGTGGGTATAAGAATATATTAAAGCAACATTGAAAATTCTAGACTCGGCTCGGCGCCTATAGCTCA